AATAATAATAATAATAATAATAATAAGAATAAGAATAATAATAATAATAATAATAATAATAATAATAATAATAAGAATATTAATAATTACAAGTAGAACTTGGGTAGATAATGAACTGATGATAAGAACAATAACGAAAAAAATGATAAATGATCTGAAGAACAATGGAATAAATAATGATCGACCAAGTGAGTGAAAGAACAATGAATGAATGAATGAATGAATGAATGAAAAAATGAACGAACGAATGAATGAACGAACGAATTGTGAGTTAAATTGTTACTGAATCAGCGAACGAATCAAAAAAAAGGAAGGAGTATAGAACAAACGAACGAACGAACGACGAACGAACGAATGCACAAATGATAAAATGAATAAATGAATGAATAAATAAATGAAAGAATGAATGAATGAATGAAACACCTTATCAATAATGGATAAGGCGTCGCTAAGATACCATGAAATTGTCATCTCAATACACACAAATAACAAGATGTTGTTTACTAACACATACACATGCACGTACAACACACGCACACACAAAAACACACAGATACAAACAAACATACATACACACATACGCATACCAAACATTCACACACACATACCAAACATATATGGATGTTTGGCTAAACGTTTGCTACCCATCGTGTATTCATCACATACATACACGCACACATACATACACGCACGCATAATACACACACGCCACACACACACACACACACACACACACACATACACAAGAACAAACACATACGTACAGTTTCCTGTTTATTAAAATTTTAAATTAAAACCTCGTAAATAAGTAATTGAAGAGTAAGCAGTGTAATAAATTAATGACCCTTAAGTACCATAAAAAGGTTTTGTAATTATTGATGTACTTGCAATGTCTTTAATTTTGGTAAGTTAATTTTCTTGTAATAAATTTTTTACTACTACTACTACTACTACTTCTACTTCTACTTCTACTACTACTACTACTACTACTACTACTACTACTACTACTACTACTAATAATAATAATAATAATAATAATAATAATAATACTAGTACCACTACTGCTACTACTACTACTGTTGCTGCTGCGGCTACTGTGGCTACTACTACTACTAATAATAATATTAAAAATAATAATAATAATGATAAACGCTAGCAGAAACGCTAGAAATATTTTTTATTTGTGTGATAGTCTCGCTAAGCTGAAATCTCATCAGAAAGTTGATCAAATGCGTAGAAATATATTCGGCTCGCTAGGACGCAAGACGTGGCGTGGAACGAAAGTTAGAAATTAATTTTCGACAGGTGGCTGTAGGTTTTTCAAATTCATTTCAAACTTTCATTCACCAATTTAAACCTTAGTTACGAACATACAGGCGATTAATGATCGTATCTGTATTAAGAAAGACGTCCAAGAGATAGAGAGTTAGAGAGAAAGAAAGAGAGAGAAAGAAAAGAAGAGGTGGTGAGAGAGAGAGAAAGAAAGAGGGAGGGGGAGAAAAGAGGCATAAAACGTTAATAAAAATGTAAACAAGGAATTTTATTTCATCAGCACGTGATCCTCGACGAAATGTAAATAATTCAACGTTCGCTGATTAGTTGGACCCTTTAACATGCAGTTCTAACTGCTCTTACAAATATATCCATGGATATAGGATATATCATTCTGTACTATCCACACACCACACAACGTATCACGCACGCACGCACACAGGCACACACTTATGGCGTATGTATGATAGTCATCGCGTAAAAACAACGCGTGACATTGCACTTCTACTAACCCACTGATCCAATCGAAACTGCATCATCACTCGAAAATGTTTAAATAACAATTTAAATCCATAAGTAGTCATCACTAAACTTTGTATCTGTCACGAGTTGTTCCCACATAACCATAATTATTCAAAAACTAATTAACCACGAGCTCACACAGTTCACACACGCACGCACACAAACATTTTGATCGAATTTATCGGGAGACACTGGTGGTAATGGTAGTAGTCGCCGCTCTCCAGTCAAGTACTTGTTTCAAATTTCCCGCCAATAAATATTAAGGCGTGGCCACACACAACAAAGCATTCTTGCATTCTTGCCTGGACATATCCAACACACACGTACACACACACACACACACACACACACACACACACACACACACACACACACACATACAATACACAAATGCAACGTGTAGCATGAAACATACACACGCTCACATACACGTACACGCAAAACGAACACAACACTCGCTGTAACCATATACACACGCACACACACACGCACACAAACATACATACAATGGATAAATAGATAGAAAATTACAAAGAGAAATAGTTCCCAGGCTAAAACCTGTTTATAATATCATGAATATCGACAACTGATTAATTAGTTTAATGTTCATCCATTGTCACAAGGTAGTTGACCAATGGTTTGCAGACATTCAAACTTGAACAATGTACACTAATTTTAGGCTACTGGGTGTATAAATATAATATGTATATATGTGTGCGTATAAAGATAAATATGCATATGCATGTGCCATTATCGTTTAACCTATTCTGCGAACCCAAGTTAAATAGTCCATTTGTGTGGTCATTATTTGGTCATCATTTGACTTCATGGTTTAGTTTCTACACTCACTGTACTATTAATAACTTGTAAGTTCTATTTTTAACACATATTTTTGTTGTTTTAAATCTACTTTCAGTCTTCAATGCATTCATTCTAGGATTTAAAATTAAAAACTAAAATGAATTTTTCGCTTGCCATATTTATGTTAATTTTTACAATTTGTTACTATGGAAACATAAGCTATTGGCTTATGGATGTACACATAAGTTAAGTTCATTCTTAATTAAGGGGTGTTTAAAACAATTTGGCTAAAAATAATTAACAAAATTTGTTTGTATTTAAAATTAATTTTAAAAATATATTAATATTTTGCAATAATAAAATATAATTATTTAATAAAAATAAAAAATTATTACTTTTTTAGTAATATTTAAAAAAAAAGTCATGTCGGCACATCTTTTTATAACAATTGCGTAATAGCACTGACTACGTTAAGAAGTTCCACGCTTGTTTGTGTATTAATGCACTTCAAGTTAGTATATTATATATAGGGGGAACATTTTCAGTTGGCCTCCAAATTTTTCACAAGTTTCTCTGTTGGGTTCGTCGATTTTACTTCTTGTAAAATAATTTTTAGAATAGTTGTCACCTTTAAAAATGTCAGAGATTAAGAAAAACGATGGAGCAGTTAGGGTGGATGAAGATGTCGATGGGGCTGTGAATTTAACAGCAGCCGAGGAAAACGATGCCAACGACTCCGACTTAATCAACGGGACGAATCAGTACGAAGATTACGACGACGACGACGACGAAGATGACGAAAATGATACATGGATTTTACCAAGCTTAGATTGGCTAAATGATCAAAACTTACTTCGTAATTTATATGGATCGCAAAAATTTTCTAGTCTCGATGGATGTGCTGCCTCAACAAATTTTTCTGCCTTACCTGTCAAGCAGGAACCAGTTGAGGACTACAGTCAAGTCTTAACGTTATCAAAACTGAAGGAAACAAAAAACCCCTCCAGCAAGCCACCATTCTCGTTCACTGTCCTAATTCTAATGGCGATAGATAGCTCGCCTAGCAAGCAGCTATTAGTTAAAGAAATTTACAAGTGGGTTGAAACAAACTTTCCTTACTATAATCGAGCCCGTAAAGGATGGAAAAATTCTGTAAGACATAACCTGTCATTAAGTAAATGCTTCACAAAAGTAGAGAAAGATAAAAGCACCGTAAGTTTTCAATCATTGCTATGTTATATTTTTTTTTATCAAAGATTTACTCATAACCTGCATTTTATTTTGAGAATTACGATCACAGTGATAATTTCAATAATAATTATAATATTATGTTATTATAATAAATATTTATAAATAATTTTTTAAATTTGTCGCCTAGGGAATGGGCAAGGGTTCTTACTGGACAATCAACCCTGCCCACTCGGTCAATTTATCTCAAGCCTTTCGAAAGACTGGCCAACATCCGTACCATCAGGTGCAGATGATGTCAGCCAATAGCAACACAGGGTTTTTCAGGTATGTTATTATTGTTTTTATTATTGTTATATATTTATGACTGTTATATTTATTTGTTTATTATTTTATTATTATTATTATATTTATTTGTTTGTTTGACAAATTTTTAAATTTCAGCAATGTTGGTGTTTCCTCTTCCGCATCTATGAGCAAACAAGCTGCTTCAAGTACGTTATTGTTATTTTCATTGTCACTATTATTGCTATTTATATTATTTATTTATATTACTTATTCATTTATTTTATTTATTTATTTTTTGTTATAATGAATTTTAAAAAAATTCTCTTTCCTTTCAGATTCAGAAAAAGAGATCTCCGATCTACGAGGTTGTTGTTTATTTTATATGCATTTTTTTATTGATCCATCCATTCATTCATTCATTCATTAATTAGTAATCTTACACAAGGTGCCTTCCACTGTCGATTAGGACGCATCTTTTATATGTATTTTTTGTTGCGTTTTTAGAGTTTGAGAGTAAGCTTCGATATTGAGGCTCACACTTTGAACTTTTCTCCTTATAATTTTGTTTCATTAGGATTAATTTAATGACGAAATGGTATGGTTTGTATTATGTCAAACAGTCTTAACAACATCAACAACAATAATAATAATATCAATAATAGTAATAGTTACAATAAAACTTAATTCTGTTAAATTCCTCCTCTTAACATTTTACCAGACATCGCTAACATCCTCCTTACGATGAAACGCTCACGTGGCAGCAGCTGCAGCAGCAGCAACAACCACAACGACGATGATGACTGGGATGAGGATGATGATGAAGACGACGACGAAGATGATGATGGTGGTGATGAAATGAGGTGCTAATTTTGATTTATTTTGAATTAATTCCGTTTAAAATCGTTTTAATAGCTAGAAAGATTATTCCATACATACATATGTTTATTTAATATTATTATAAAACTTCTATTTACAACAATCAATTATAGTTAACCAATTATAATTAACCAGTAAAAGTTACCCAATTAAAATTATTACTAATCAATTGTGACTGTTAATCAACCAGTGGGGCTTCTTATGGCGATCATCCGTACTGCTTCAGAATGCACTGTAACGATGATGAAGATGGCGATGATAGTGACGACGACGACGACGACCACAATAGTGGTGGTGGTGGTGGTAAGAGAAAGATTTCTAATGATGATGAGGAAGATGATTTCTATAGAAGCAATAATAATGATAATACAATTGCTGATGATGATAGTATGAGTTGTAGTAATAGGAATGCATATGATGACGGTGAAGATGATAATAATAATAATAATAATAATATGCTGGGTAACATTTATAAAAACAGCATAAGCGTCTTAAACGAGAACTCAGGTAACAAAAAAATTAATAGTAATAATAATAACAATAATAATAATAATAACAATAAAAATGCATGTAACAAACCCATTAAATGCGATGAGAATAAAAAAGATGCCGAATCATCAACAGAATCATCGTCATCATCGTCAGTGCCGAGACCATCATCATCAGCACCGTTACTGCCCTCATCATCATCATCATCTTCGAAACCATCATCATCATTACTAGCCCAACCGTCATTGATGGTCACCAGAAACATGGTTGGGACAAGAAAGCGTAAAAAATTTTTCGACGAAATCGACGTTTTTTTTTATAACTCTACTACTACTACTACCACTACTACTACTACTACCTCCAATACTACTACTACTACTACTACTACTACTACCTCCAATACTACTACTGATAATAATAAACATAATCATAATAATGGTAATAGTAATAGTAACAATGGTGCTGGTAATGATGTAAGAAAATTCAAAAGAGGGACTAGGGTGAGCAACAGAAGAACCTCTTCTACTGCTACTACTACTAATATTAATAATAACAACAATAGTAATAACAATAATAGTGATCGTATTGGTAGTATTATAGATGAAGTTGACATGGCTGCTAATGCCCTGCTAAAACTATCGTCTGTATTTAAAGTTAATTTTATTAATACTACTACCAGCGCGATTACTACTACCACTGCTGCTGCTGCTGCTGTGGCTACTGCTGTCACTGCTACTACTACTACTACTAATGATAATAATAATAATAATAATAATGATAATAAAAGCAACAATAGCAGCAGAAGACCTGCCAGATCAGTCAATAAAAATGTCGGTACCATTACATCTACTACTACTACTACTACTAATAATAATAATAATAAAAACCCGGCAAAGAAAAGAGGTAGAAAACGGAAGGCAACCTCAATAGAAGAAGTCTGCAACAATAATAATAATAATAACAATGAAAATAATGAGAATGTAGGTGAGGTTGAGGTCAAAATTGAAGAAATCAAAGAAGATGATGACGTCACCGTGAAGAAGGAAATTTTGTTCGATAGTGGGGGCTTCGTTGGTCTTGTTGTTGGTGATATTAAAGTGGAAGATGATATGCCTGTGGATGAAATGTGAGGCGATTATGATCATGATGACGATGATTGGTTGGTAATGGTGATGATATTAAACTGATTTTACGATGGTAATGATGACTATTAAGATGCCTTTTAGATATATATATATATATATATATATATATGGTGTGTGCTATGCATACATATATTATAAGTATATCTATATATAAATGATATACTAGTTTATTTGTATATATGTATGTATGTGGATATGTGTGTATGTTTGTTTTTATTTATATATGTATGTATGTTTGTATGTAAGTATGTTTGTATTGATGTATGTATGCATGTTTGTATATGTGTGTTTGTATGCCTCTATATAGATAGACTTCTGATTTAATGTGTTCAATTTTCGCGTTTTATCTTCTTGAAAAAATGACTAATCTTGCATTTCCATCGCAATTTTTTTTTTCATTTAAGAGGAGTAATTTTTAATTAAGTTTTTCTACCTTTTTTGATCTATTTTGATATTTTACTTCACGGTGGAAGACTTATTTGCCATTGTGTTCATTTATATGATGTATTTATTTCTTTTTAACCTTCTGTACTCACACACGCGCACCGCACGCACACACAAACAAACAAATCCGTATGTATTTATAAATATGTTTGTGTGTATTTTTTGTTTTGTTTTGTTGTTGTTGTTGTCCTTTGTTTTGGTTATTCATTTGTGTCCAATTTGTTGTTGTTTGACTAGTATGTTTGTCGTTGATATTATTATTATTATCCATATTATTATTATTGCTGTTGTTTAGTGAATATTTTCTGCATAATTTTGTTGGTATGCAGTTTCTTGTACGGTGTGAAATTATTTTAGAATGAGTAGATGAGTGAGCCTATTATTCGATGTTATGAATTGTGGTGTAGACGAGGATGACGATGGCGTTGTAGATGGTAATGATGTGGGTGATGATGATGTGGATGATGATGAAGATGTGGGTGATGATGATGTGGATGATGATGAAGATGTGGGTGAATGGTGATGCAATACGGTATTAGTTTATTTTATTTACTATCATGTTCACTTTTAAACGTTTTCAGTTACTAATTAATTAATTAATTTTATTATTTTATTCACATAATTATGTCTGGATTTATACAGCAAATTACTTTATTTCATTTCGTCCTGACTTGTATGATATTTCACATTTGCGAAACAGTATTTTTTTGGTTTTTGATGGTGGTGATGGTTAAACTTTAGAAATAATAGTAATAATAATGATGATAATAATATTGATTAGTAATAATAATGATAATTATTATTGTTATTATTATTATTATATGGGATCAGTTCACTTTGTTGGATTTCATTTATTTATTTATTTTCAATATTAAAATGCGAAAAGAAATTTCAATGAATAAGTTATAAAAACTAATGAGGATGGTAACGACTTAGATTTCATTCAATAAAATTACAAACGTATCCACACACACACACACACATATCCAAACTTTTTCGCACACACACACATCCACACACACATATTCACGCATACACACACACACACGCAAATAAGTTAATTACATTGGATTACATACAGTTGCATTGGGTAATAATGTTAAATTTTAATTTACTTGAGGCGTTTTTACAAACAAGACGACATGGTATTTTCCCCACTGTTCATTGAAGCATTAGAATAAAATATTGAATAAAGTAAAAGTTTGGAACAGTAAAAGTAACAAACTAACAACATTTAAAACGTTTAAAATTTAATTTAAAATGAAAAATACGTTAAAAACAGTTCGTCTCAAAAAATTAAAAAACCGATTAAAAATATCGTTCGTTTGTATTCGCATTAATTCGTAATTACTCGATTAAATTGGGGAGCAGAGTCGAATCTACGGTTTTTGTTTATTGGTCCAGGATTTGAACATGCTTATCAGATCGTGGGTTGTCGGTCTTTTGTCGGTATCGGCTGACCAGCAAAGCTGAATGATGAGTTTGAAGTCTTCCTCTATGGGTTGATGTAATTTGCTGCGAGGTCTGTATTTGTATCGCGTTGTCGTATTGGTTGGCGTGCTGTTATATACATGATTTGATTGGTTGTATCGGTTGAGTCCTCTCGTTTGATTGGCCCGTTTGAAGTAACTCAAAAATCTCTTTTCAATGTCGTTTTTGCTTCTACTTCCCTTCTTGCTGTTCTTCGTCGTATCGCGACAAATGCCATCAATTCGCTCACCATCATCGTCGTCGTCATCATCATAGTCATCGTCTTCATCGTTGTTCTTCAGCTCAAAGCCTGGTCGGGCGTTGTAGGCAACAACTGAAAATATAATCACGTGATGATTACTTCCGGCAAACGGTTGTCGCCTGCTCCACATCTGCCACATGGTGATCCCTAGCGAGTAGACATCAGAATGAGGACCAGGCACATCTCCCTTCAGAACTTCTGGCGCCCTGTAGGCGTAAGTTCCTGCCAGTTGGCTGACAGGCTGAGGTTCTGCCGATAAAAATTCGCTGTTTTCATCGTTGTTCGGAGATGGACTGGCTTTATCGTCCAGGGATGGATGAGGTTTGAGTCGTCTGCAGCAGCCAAAGTCGCCCAATTTGCAGCTGTCGTTGGCGGTGAGGAGGATGTTAGCTGGCTTCACGTCCAGGTGTAGAACGAGGTTGGTGTGGATGAAGTGCAAGGCCTCGCATATATCCATGGAGTACCTGACGGTCATGTCGTGTGTTGCACCTAAGGTAACTTGCTTTACTTACTTTTTTTATCATTATCTTTTTTTACTACTACAAAGTAAAAAAGCTTTCTAGTTTTGACGTAAATAGCATAGAAATTGAAAAAATGGAAATTTTTGATGGAAAAGCAGGCAAAATGATTGCTAACTTAACTCTCCTAGGATAGGACATCTCAGCCCCCCTATCGTTGATGACGTTGAGGAGATTCCTCTCTCCGGCGTACTCCATGATGATGACCGCATCTTGCTGGGGGTCGCCCAGACTGGCCGCCAGCACCTGTACGATGTTTGGGTGTCGCAAGTTCAAAACCTGACATTCGGCGCGAAAACTTTCGAGTTTTGCGCGTGAATTTTTGACTCTTCTGTTTGAAATTGGACGGATGGATGGATGGATAGATGGATGGATGGATAAATGGATGGATGGATGGATAAATGGATGGATGGATAGATGGATGGATGGATAAATGGATGGATGGATGGATAAATGGATGGATGGATGGATGGACGGATGGGTGGGCTGATGGAAAAAGGAAACAATTTAAAAAATGTTACATGATAATTATTATAGTAAACTTATTATTATTATTACAAATTATTTCATTACAAGAAAAAATATAATAATTAATTGGCTAATTAATTTACCGGTGAAGTTTTTTCACGGCGACAATTTTATCCCTGAAGACGCCCAGATATACCGCCCCGAACCCCCCGTAACCTGTCTCAGAGAATGCATGAATGAATAAATGAATGAATAAATGAATTGATGGACGAATGAATTCATAAATTAATGGATGGATGAAAGCGTCATTAAATGTATGAATGAGTAAATGAAAGAATAAACCAAACTACATTAAAGAACCAACAAATTAATTTTGAGTTCATGTAAAATATTTGTTCAATCATTTAACCACCATTCTATCCATCCATCCATCCATTCGTCCATCTATTCATTTATCCCTATATTCATTCATTAAACCATCCATTCATTCATTCATTAACCCATCCATCCATTCATTTGTTAATTCACTCACTCATTCATTCATTTACCGATTAATTTTTTCAGTTTAATCTTCGTGATATCTCGCCTCGAGATTTTTGGAGGGGACAGGGTTAATCTGTCACCTGTCGAACCAAGACGAAATCTCCAAATTTTTTTAAGATGGGAATAATACGGAGTCGTGTATCTGTTGTTGTATTTGATGTTGTTGTTGTTGTTGTTGCTGCTGCTGGTGTTGTATTTGTTGTGGTTGTTGTGGTTGCTGCTGTTGTTGATGTCATTGTTACTGAAACCATTGTTGTTGTTGTTGTTGTTGTTGTTGTTGTTGTTGTTATTTTTGTTGATGTTAATGTCGTTGATGTTTTTGTTAGGGATTTTGTTGTTGTTGTTGTTGGTATTCATGACGTCATTGCTAATAATGTGGTTGTTGTTGTTTATAATGATGTTATTTATAGTTTCTTTGGTTTCGCTGATTGTTTTGATGTTTTTATTTAAATCTGTGAACGTTTTGTTGCTGCTTTCTTTGCAGTCGTTGCAGCCGCTGCTGAAATCGACGTCATCAGTGGCGGTTTTGTCGTTGATGATGTCATTAACCACATTATTATTATTATTATTATTGTTGTTGTTGTTGTTGTTGCCATTATTAATGACGTGTTGTTTGTTTTCGATATTTTGTTGACAATGAAAAAATTTTAATTGAAACGGCGTAATTGATGGAGACAATTTGAAAACTGAAGACGACGACGACGACGATGATGATGATGAGCTTTTGTTGGTGTTATTGTTGTTGTTGTTGATGATGACGTCATTATTATTATTATTGTGGATGTTGTTGTTGGTGTTATTGGTGCGGTTTTTGTCTTGGTTGATACATGGTGTTGTTGCCAATGCAGCGTTACTTATTCCATCTCTTCTAAACAACATTTTATTATTAATATTATTATTATTATTATGATTATTATTATTATTATTGTGAATAATTAGCCGGTCCAGATTGATTGAGGTCTGCTTCATATTAGTGTTGCAACGTAGTACCGGCGATTCTTTCTGCGGCGTTTTAAAAACGCTGTCATCCATGTTTTTGTGGCTGTCGTCCATGAAGCCACTGCTTATTATGTTATAATAATAATGATGATGATAATAACAATACCAATAATAATAATAATAATTATAATTATTATTAATATTATTACTAGCACAACAACTTTGCAAATGATACTGCTGCTTCTGCTGCTGATACTACTACTATTAGTTTATTAGTTCATTCATTCCTTCATCCATTCATCCATTCATTCATTCGTTCATTCACTAATTCATTCATTCATTCATTCGTTTGTTCGTTCATTCTTTCATTCATTCGTACATTCATTCATTCATCCATACCTTTGTAATAAGCCAATACTTAGATGGAGGCATCTTGAAAATGGAAAAATGTTTGCAATGTTGTTGCAATTTTGAGGTTTGCTGTTGTCAAAATATAACCAGCTTTTTGCTTTTGTGTTTCTATTGTTGCTGTTGTTGTTGTCGGCGGTAGTGATAATGATGTTTTTGCTGCTTGTTTTGTTGTCAAAATACAGCCAGCTTCTGGCTTTGGAGTTTCTCGAGTTGTTATCATGATTATTATTGTCGTTATTATTATTCTTGTTGTTCTGTTGTTGTTGATGATGATGAGGTTGTTGTTGCTGTTGTTGCTGTTGTTGTTGTCGTTGTCGATTTCTTAGCATTTCGTTCAAACTAACAAAAATATTAAAAAAAACAAAGAAATGTAAGTTGCTTATCCTTCAAAACACCAAAAATTAATTTTATTCAATTTCATTTTTGTTATTTTTTAAATTAAAATCTAAAAATGTCAAAAATTCATTTTTTCGTTCTTTCTTTCTTTCTTTCTTTCTTTCTTTCTTTCTTTCTCTCTCTTTCTTTCCTTCTAAAAGCCGTAAAATATTTAAAAAAAATTTCGGAATTCAAGTTCACTGCAGGTTTTTTTCCTGGAGGATTGTTATAAAATGGCTCTTAATAATAATAATAACAATAATTATAATTATAATTAATTATTATTAATATTATGTGGATATTATTTATGTGTACGTGTGTATGTCAATTTGCAAACATAGACACATGTGTGAATTTGCATATTGTATACGTGTGTGTATTTAACTTTGTATTCATGTGTATTTATGTGTGTAACATTATCTTAGTATCTTACAATGATGTAGTACAGTTTATAGTTGAGAACAAGGAATATTCTTTGCTTACTTGAAAAATGTTTGATACACACACACATACACACACACACATGCACACGCACGCACACATACACGCATATACACACAAACACGGACACACAAACAAGTAAACAAATGAATAAATATGGACTCATTAGCATTCATACAACTAAATATATACATCAATAAATCAATATAAAATGCAATAATACATTAACACATACATACACACATACATAGATATGAAATATATAGATACATGACGGGCGATAATATAGAAATGCAATATGATTTACACAATAACATAGATGAAATAGTATTAACGATACTACATCAACAAAGATACATTGATATAAATAAATACATGGAGTAACGGGTGATAATATAGAAGGACTACAGCATACAAACATTGGTAGATAAGACAAAAGTGGATTCATTAAATGGAATGCGTGTATGTGTGGGGGAACATGGTAAGAAGAACAAAGACCTTTTAGACTGACCATTATGACGCCCATCTTTAGAAGCATCCAGCTTAATTAACCTTTTCATCTTTGGTCAGATGATGGTATTGATGATGGTGATGATGTTGATGATGATGGTGATGGTGATGATGATGTTGAGATAGATTATGGTGCTGCTGGTTATGATAACATAGATGGTGATGATGATGACGTAAGTAATGATGATGATGATAGTGTGGACGATTTCGGTGACCTGCAGAGCAAAAAAGCAAAAAATGAAAAATAAGAATAACGCCATCATCATCATCCTCATCATCATCACCATCATCATCATCACCATCATCATCATCACTACCAACATCAACAAAATTCCTAACACAATTAACGACCAGCGAGTCATGCGCTGATTAGTAGCACCCAGGTGTCACCATGAAGGGCAAAAAAACAAAGAAATGTAAATTAAACTATCTTTGTTCTTTTTTCTTTGGCTATTTTCCTTCTTTCTTTCTTTCTTTCTCATTTTCCCTCTCTCTCTCACTCTTTATTTCTCTCTCACTTTCTTTCTCCCTCTCTCCTTTTCTTCAAGTTAATCTGCTTTATTTATAAGTCTACTGTTTTCCGAACTATTTATTTAATTTTTTTCATTTCAAGACATTTTTCGGCATCTAACTTTTTTCACTACTTGAAATAATTAAGTCGATGAGAGAAGTTAGATGTTAAGAATTCATTTCTTTCAAGTGGAGCGCAAAGGACCCCGTTCAACTGCCTCGGGGATGAATTTAAAATTTAAATATCCCTTTAAACCGCCATCTTTCTTTTTTTTTAGTTTTTCACATTCTGTTTCTATTGGAGTTAATTTTTAAATTAACACATATAAACGAACATACACGTTTAATATATGCGCGTGTGCGTGCGTGTGTGTGTGTAATGTGTGTGTGGTGTGTGTGTGTATGCGTGTGTACGTATATTTATACTTTTATATATAGATAAGTTAGAGCACCCTTGTGAGTGATTAACATCGCGTACCATCCGCTTTTTGTATTTTTTGTACGTAATTTTATATGTTTGTGTGTGTGCGTGTGTGCGTGCGTGTGTGTATATTTTCTTATGCCCGTGTGTTTGTTTGTTTGCATACACGATGCAAACTTACCCAAAGGCTTACCCAAACTAACTCTTTTTTAGTATCAAAGAAAAATAATAACGTTTTGTTGTGTTTGAAATTAAACTAATTTGGTAGAGAGTCATTATAGAAACATATAAAAACATACTTTACATACAAACAATACCAAATACACTAAACAAACATACGAACAATCATACAGACATACAAACATTCATACAATCAAGCATACATACAAGCGAATAAACAAAATCAATACCATCCTTTTTTCGTCTTCATTAATAATTGTCTAATCATTATTATCATATGTAACGCACACATATACAACCATACATCCATGTATTGGTTTGTTGTTGTATATTATTATTGTCGTTGTTATTTGTTATTATCTATATGTGTGCGTTACATATGATAATAATGATTAGACAATTATTAATGAAGACGAAAAAAAAAAAAAAAAAAATCTATATCTATATGTCCTGGTTATGACATTAAACTGACCCTCACTGCCTTGTGAGTGATGTTGGATCATCAAAGGCTAGGCCCACCGCTTATAACTGTGGTTGCGTAAGGAAGGGCGTCCTGCGTAAAAATTAGCCAAATAAATTACTTATGATGGAATGGCGTCGAGGGGTATTTCGGTTTCATCATAGGTAGCCAAACGGCAACCCCCGATCTCGGGGAAAATGTCGTCTAAACGTGTGTTGTTGTATTTGTTATTATCTATCGTTATTATTGTTGTTTGGTTAGAGTTTTTACAAAAGAGGAATCATTAACGTCATTAAAACATAGTTTTGTCGCGACATTTATCTTTCACTGTTTTGATCTGTATACATTTTGATTTGTTTTTTCTTTGTTTTAATAATTTTTTTAAAGTTTTTTCATACAATCCAACAAGCAAAACTCCGTTTTCTGCATTGACATTTGTGTTTTTATTTTATGAGATATCGAATTTTTGTTCATACAAATTTTTTTCAAAAAACAAATAAACAAAACAAAAAAGACTACAAAACTAATAAAAATATCCGATTTTAGTAGCATTGCTTATCGAATCGAAAATAAATAAATTAATAGATTAATTAATAAAAAAAGAATAAATAAATTAATTAATTAATATCTTAATTAATTAATGAATGAATTAGTTAATTAAGAATAATAACATTTTTGTAATATATAATCCGAAATTATGTATTTTCATAATTATATTAATATATCATTTTATTTCGTTGAGTTTCGACATTACAAACTGTTTCTAATTTATAACTATTGCTAAATATTATAAGACATGAAAAACAAAATTTCGTTATAATAAATTCATAATAATAATAATAATAAGTAACAATAAAAATAATAAAATAATAATAAATCAATTGGCTTTTTTTGCATTTCAATCAAATAAACACACACTGCCTTTCAAAAACAAACATACACACACACACCACACACACACACACACACAGAAGGAACGTCAAAAGGAAAAGGTGGGGTATCGGTGCGTCCACCCCTCTTCCACCCACTGGCCACTCACCATCTCCAACTGACCAGTGTAAGCGTTAAAGGACCCAGAGACAGGTGTGGCAGCCACCATGGACACAGGCGATCTGTTGGCGTGTGATGACGACAGCGTGATTTGATTGGTGGACGTAGAAGGAGATGGGCGGGGCATACTGTAGAGGGCCTCGGCTAGGTCGGCGGCCCTTTTTAAGATTATTTCCTGCACGGTAAAATTATTCGTTATAAGAAACAATTGACTGAGGTCAAAGTTCATTTTCTACTAACTTTCGGTAACCTTTCCGGATCACCTGGATGTCTCGGTACCAGCTTCATGAGACGTTGGAAGCCAAAATCTATCGTTGGTTCTGTAAGGGCTGATGATGATGATGAGGATGATGGAGATGTTGATGAAGAAGAGGAGTATGACGATGATGATGACGATGATGAATACGATGACGATGATGGAAAAAGATTGTACAAACAAAACGAAACGCAAATTCGAATACAAATGAAGAAAGAAAAATTTATAAAAATGTCAAACCTGTATATACAAATCTACCGGGTGCACTTTTGCAGAATTGCTTGGACTTGAAGGTCAAGGTGACCTCGACGACCCCAGGAATGTGTCGTGAGGGGGTCTGCACGCGTATGGCGTGTGACGTAATCAACTGAAGTCAAATAGGTCGAAATAAATGAATGTATGAATAAATAAATAACTTTTTAATAGAAGATAATCAGTTAAACAAATATTTGAATGTATGAAAATGTACGCTTTAGCTCAAA